AATACACAACCACAAAAACCTGGTCTTTTTCTGATTTTGGACATGTCAAATTCGTAAGATTTGACATCGCTGATCTCAGGATTTATCTTCTTGACTAACCTTCAATGGCCTGTAATGACAGAGAAGCAAATGGTTGTGTAATGATGGTTAATGTCAATATCATGCCTAACAATCTTTGCATCAAGAAGAGATCTTGGTTATTGATTATTTGCTCAATATGTTCAGCAGAGTATTGCAAGAATGTATAGTAGTTTGTGTGCGTAGGAAATACAAAAGTGTCTGAGAATAAACCTTTCCTCCTACTCAAAGTGTTTAGAAATGAGTATAGGGTTGAAATGTGTATTTCTAAAGGTCAAGTGACATGAACAGTCTCATAAAGGGTACAGTTTCAGATCTTGCCATCCTGGCACCCACACATTTGTCATCTTTATTGAAAAAAATGTTGCACACCAATTATGTGAGCTAAAAAAGTTGAAGAAAAAAGAAAACTTCTGTATGTTCTGATACTGTCTTTACTTCATTGTCTTATTAATTGTCTTATTAGTTATTATTATTATTATTGTGTTGTATAAGTGATGTTTTTACAGTAGAACAGAAAATGAGTTAACAGAAATGTCAAAGCTGTCCAATTCAGTAGCAATCTTGCGTGGTTTATTAAAATATATTTATAGCCTATGTATGCTACTTGCATACTAAATGAAAAGAATACCTCTAGACTAACATGCATTACTTTTATAGAAGTTGTTAAAAGTCAGGACTGCCCAAAAACATGCCATTTTAAATGTATTTATAGATATGCCATATGGCAGTGAAGTCAAATACCTTTAATATACATGGAATTTCTTTTAATCTTTTACATTTACAGTATTGGTAACACTTTGCAATAAGGTTTCATTTGTTTACATTTAATTAACTATATTAATTAACATGAACAATAATTATATAGCATTTATTAATGTTAGTTGATATTAAGTTCAAAACTTACTAATCCATTATTAAAATTTAAAGTTGTATCTGTTAACCTAAGTTAACATGTAGAAAATGATTATGGGGATGTTGTAATTGCACTCACCGTTTGTGTTTTTTAGAAGAGAGTTTCTTCTGTTGGTACTGATGCCAATGAACCAAGACGTCTCTTGTGCTGCAGTCTCATCTCTTCAGTTTACTTCAGGAAATGCGTTTGCGGTGAGAGCAGAAGCAATCCGCTGCTTGTCATTTTCTTTTTAAGGTCTCCTCTTATACTGCTTAAAATACTAATGAATGAACACAAACATACATGCAGAAACACTCCAAAAACCACACTGAACCACATTGAACTCCTCAGTAGTAAGTCACATAGATTATCACAAAAGTGCAATAAAGAAGTAACCCAAGACCAGTTAAAATGGCGTTTTATGAGTTTTATTTCAGCCACTACAACCAAATACACTAGCTAAATCTTTTTTTTTTTAAAGAGTAAAATGCTTTAAACATCTGGGTACATTCAGATCATAGTCAAAAAAGTCCTGCCTGACATAAAAGTGGTTGAATATGCTATTACTCTTGATACACATGTACAGATGTAATTCAGCAAGTGAACTTAAAAAATGTTTTGAAGAACATTATTTTATTATATTTTGCCATGTTAACATAAATACATTAATATTAACATAACATTGACTATTATTAAAAGATCTGGATAAAATAAGAAAGAAAAACTTATTTACATTTATACAAAAAATGGACAATTTTTATTTTTATTTGGAAATTAGAAGTAAGGTTGTTCTGCCACATTTTCTCAATCTGTTATTCAATCTCTAAATAATGTTTTTATAGACAACATATAATGTTAGTCAGTGAAGTACATTTTGTAGGTCCTTTCTTGTTTATTACTATACACTCCCACATTTGCTAAAGGTCACAGATCGATAATGAAGACTGATACGTGTCTGGTGATAAATCTTGATCCTGTGTTATCTGGCTGTTGTCATTTTGAACTTATGCCACCTAAAGGAAATAGAGCATAATTTAGATCCACTATCAAAAAATTGTGTAAGACACCATGCTGAAACCATAAATCAATCTTTCTATTAGATATTGCATGACTATTAGTAATAAATGCGGTAAATGAATGATTTGACCTTTAGAAATGAAGTCACCTTTGTATCTAAAGTACATACCTCTTTGTGATTGCATGTACCACAGATGCAGCCAAAGAGACCGTTGAGTACCTGGAATCCACAGAGCAGCAGCTCTAAACAAGCGGCCACCAGCAGGGCAGAAAACAGGCCAATATTAAACACCACAATATTTTCTGGCTCTTCGCAAGTTTCCCAAATGTCAGTGTTTCCCAAGTAGCTTTCAGTGCTGCAAACAACAACAAAAATGGTCACATTAAAGAAAAAGAAAACAGTAACTCTCCACAAACACAGTTAATAGGGACATAGAGAGAGAGGGAGAGCCTTTGTTCCTCTCTATACATTTTTTCAATAAATGTTCATTTTGGAAAACAACCTCTTAGGCCCTTTGAAATGGGACGGACCATTCATTTTCATACCTGTTTAGGAATGGTCTGCTCCATGTATCATTTTCAAGCATGCAAACTGGTCCACGAATCAGTCCAAACACAGCTATAATGCCACTGTACAGGGCACCAGCCAAACCAACTGCAGCGAAGATAATGGACAGGAACATCTAATGGGCAAATACAACACAATTGGCAAGGGTCACTAAATGGAAAATGTAGAAGAGCATATTTGATCATGTTTGGAATGACATGAGGGTGAGTAAATGTTGATAGAATATTTCTATTTTGATGAATATTCCTTTTTAAAGTAAAGTAGACACACCAGCTTTAATGCTTAGGCAGTATTTCAATTACTGAAGTGTATTAGTGTATTCAAATCCATGACCCTGGAAAAACTTACCCCACAGCGGTTTGAACAACAGCCTTGTCTCCCTGTGCTGTGGATGTGGATCGCAGGGATCAACACCTAAAACGGAAAAACAGTAGCTATATCAATATATGTGACACTGGACCACAAATCCAGTCATGAGGATAAATTTTTTAATGGATTTTATACATCAGGGCTTTCCACTGATATAGTAACCTATATGTCCGAGATACAACTATTTAAAAATCTGAAATCTGAGGGTGCAAACAAATCAAAATATTGGGAAAATCGCCTTTAAAGTTGTCCAAATAAAGTCCTTTAGCAATGCATATTACTAATGATAATACATTTTTTATATATTTATGGTAGGAAATTTACAAAATATCTTCATGGATTATGATCTTTACTTAATATCCTAATGATTTTGGGCATAAAAGAAAAATCGATACATACAATGTATTGTTGGCTATTGCTACAAATATACCTGTGCGACTTATGACTGGTTTTGAGGTCCAGGGTCACATATTAAAGATATGTAGCCTACAAAGTATGCTCTCTTTTTAGGATATTCATGTAAATAGTGCCTATAAACTGGTCAGACAACACCAGCAGAAATGTCAGGGAAAACTCAGTGACAATACAATGAGAAAGAGTAGAATTTCCTCACCAAGATGCCTCCTCCAACAACACCTCCCATGTATTTGATCTCATCTGTAAGACGGTAGAGTCCCTCTGCTTCCTCCTTGGAATAAATGGTTTGAAAATCAGGGAAGAACAGAAAAATGTTGCAGATGATGGACAGCAGTGCCAGCGGATAGAGACAGATGCCAATAAACTTGGAGCACTTTCCTGTACACATGATGTAAATATTTTGTTTAATTAAAAATGAGAAATATTAAGTAGACTTCAGCTGTGTAAGCCTTTCTTCTCGAGTGCTAAAGTGAGGAGAGGATGAATTATATACTGTATATGACTAGACTAGCACACCTACCTGTGAACAGGTCAGTTACTGATGTCACATTTTAATGATTTATTAGTTGCCATAAAAATGATGACTGTACTTTGAATTACCAATGTCACTCTGTCAAAAACTTTGTTCTTATAAAGCTTCTGTTATTGCTAGCCAATCATACATATGACCTCAATAGGTGCAATGGTTGCAATATAATCTATTCAGTGATGTCATATGATAATTATTATATCCTGGCATCTATCTTTAAAGCCAGATATCAGTGAATGTTATTAATTTTTGGAGGTGTGGGCCTGCGTGTGGCTCTTTACTGAACTCTGAACCTTTTATTGCATTTATGTTCAGATCCCACATGCTCTCTTATCGAAAAATCTATAAACCAGCAGCGGAAACTCTGACCAAGTTCACACTAGTACATCAGATATTTGCATAATTGTATTCCATGTAATGACTGCATGTCAAACCTATTGGGTAATTTTTACTTCTGGGACAAAATTGTCCTCAGAAGTGAGCTAAATCTGATAAAAAAAAACTCCCTTTGAATGCCCAGGTATATGGATCAAGGTACATATATGTTAATGTTTCGATAATGGGAGAAGACGTAACATTTTGTATCATTATAGTTAGTGGAAAAACAGTGCCATGTGTCAAGCGCAAATCAGATATATAGTAATATTTATTAAGAAGAGTCTGAAAAGTAGAACAAATACTACTTTATTTAATAAAGTCCACATTGGTTCTTGATTTGTTTACCACAACACTCAAATACCCCATCAACATAAGCTGCCATGGCAATAATGAAACGAGAGGTGAGACTTTCCTGAATGCATATTCTTTGGTTAACCACTGTGAGAAACTTGACATTAATGAACTTTACCTGACCTTAACATCAAGTAAAGTTAATTTCTGACCTAAATAATGTACAAAATGTAAAATATTGTACAGCAATAGCTCAGCGAGTAAACACTTACTATAACTTTTAAAAGCAATTTACATCCATTATTTTTGACAGCACTCGTGTAGAGTAAATGTTCTGTGCTTAAATATTACCTGAATAAGAATTCATTTCTTAAGCTGATGCTGCAGGTCCTAAAGAAGGTTTGGGATGAGGATGAGAACAAAAACACATGCAAACACAGTAAAATGCTGTAATTCATATTTATATTGACAAAATAATCATAAAGCATATATTTTGACAAGCCATGGCAAACAGCTTTAGCATGAAGCAATGATTTAACATTTAGGTCACACAAAAAAATATTAAAAATCATGCAAATGTCTTAGATTGCATGTTGCTACTCTTGATAACTTTATATAATTGCCTATTGTGACTGTACGTAACGGTTTAAAAGTACAAAAAATTCACAACAGTAGCCTTTTTTCCCCAAAAGGTTTCATTTTGTATTAACCCTATACAAAGCATTAAGATGCCACACATAAAATGTACATCCCCAGATTATTTTAGTCAAAGTCCCATCTTTAACCTCACTTACTGCTGAGTTACAATCATATCTTCCATAGCCATCTATTGTCACATGATCTAAAAACAAGATAAGCCTAAAAATAACCCAAGCAAGTGTGTCACTGCCTTGAGCACTCAACTGAAAAACTAAGACTGAAGTATGAATGGTCAACACTGATAAATGAAGTGCTCTCATTTCACATCTACAGTAGCTGTACAGTGTCAACACCAAGGTGCAATTTTAAAATCCCTGCGTCAGACTGGTGATATAAATGAATGTGTTCTTTGTGATCAAGGTTTCATAATTGCTCAACAACTCAAGTCCAGGAGTGCGTCAATGCCATTATTCCCTGTGGACCCTAAATAATGGCCCGTGTCCGGGAATGATCACATCAGCCATCTGCAGCGCCATCTGTCGGTTGGTCTCTTGTATCTGAGGATTCTCGCTCAGCTCCTTCCATGAATCTTCATCATGGCAACGTTCAAACAAGTCTCCAGCGACAAGGACCGTCCCCTCTGATGTTCCCTTCACCAGGACACTGACATCTCGACCCATGTGGCCAGGCGTGGGAATGACGGATACCTTGTGGATAAAGTGGATCAGTTCATTATACTTGTATGCTACTTCAGTACATAGAAGAGTCTAATTATGGCCATATATGACATGTGAATAACTTACAAAATCATCAATAGGGTATGGCTCTCCCTCAGCGAGCTGGTTGGGCAGATATCGATCCCCCACGCTTATGTCACATCCCACGATTATTTTGGCGTTTGGAAACAACCCCAAGTTTCCCACGTGGTCAGAGTGACCGTGGGTTCCGACTACTGTAGCAACATTATCTGGTGTCAGACCCTTCTCCTTCAGTTTTGCGACCAGAAAGTCTCGATCCCATGGACCTCCGGTGTCTACCAGAATAGTCTGTGGTCCGGTAATTAAAGAGATAGTGCCGTCAGCTCTAAACGTCCCGTCTGATTCAGCTGTGCAGTAGCCCTCTTTCAACACTGAGACGCAATACGGTTGGCCTGAAATGTCGGAACTTAGTCCCGATTCACTTTTTCTTATTGAGCGATTCGTGTTCATTTCAGCCTGTGTAATTGGGATAACTTGAGTGCTGCAAAGAAACAAAAAATTACCACATCTAAAATTCCATTTTCACTATCGCTTCTACGGAGTGTCACTGAGGACAAACTAGCAAGGTATCTTTTTACATCGGCGATATGGAACCACCTTTTGCTGACAGAAAAAAACAAGTCAAATTTTATACACATACTGGTATTACTACTACTACTAATAATACATTTCAACTAAGAAATCATTTGGGCCGCAAGTCGTGGGAACACAAGTCACTAGAAGAGTTTCCATAAATAAAGGAGACGAATTACAGCAGCGCACGACATCACGTGACTTGGTTAGCATCATGGCGGAAGCGGTTGCAGAAACCTCAATTATGGACCCTTTCAAAGATATTCTGGTTAATTATTTAATGCCAGAAAAATGTTACGACGAGTTCTTTTTGCAGTTCAATCTTCTGCACGGTAGGTTCACATTTGATGAGTTTAGTGGTAACTATAGATAATTGGAAGATATTACAAAGCTTCTTTCCTGGTATGCTTACAACGATTCAATGACAAAGTGGATTTTTCTCTTGTAAAATATCGGAACAGCTATCGTTTTAGCAGCTTTGGTGCTAACTGCATTATCGACTTTAGGGGTTCGACTTTTGAAAGATGTTTATGAATAATACAGTGGGTGTGGCAACAAGTTCACCAAAAATACAATAACCAATTATAGATACCAATAATAGTGATGTCTGTTTTAAATGTTTGCTCTGTAGCTTGCATTAAAAATATGGTTAGCTGTGCCCAAACTTTCTCATGCAACCCCCTACAAAGTCATACTGAATCCTGATTTCTTCTTTGTGATTTTTCTATAGTGGATTGTCTGAAGATTGTAATCAGCAAAGGCCTGGGCATTGGGATTATTCTTGGGTCTGTATTAGGTATGAAAACACCCACCTTCATCTTTACAACACACAAAAACCCAAACAATTTTCTTCTAACACTGATGCTTTGTGCATGTCTCTTCACAGTAAAACTACCTCAGATTCTAAAGCTGATTGGTGCCAAAAGTGCTGAGGGGCTGAGCTTTAACTCTGTGCTACTGGAGCTGTTTGCTATAACAGGCACCATGGCTTACAGTATTGCCAACAGCTTCCCTTTCAGGTAAATCAATAGTCACACCTTTTCATAATTATGCTAAAGTCTGGTAAACATTTGTCCATATACAAACACCATGCATTTATAAATATCAATCAACAAAGTGGAAAACTGTTTACTGGGTACATAAAGATATATTAACATGTATTTTATTTTTGACAGTTCCTGGGGTGAGGCACTTTTCCTTATGCTTCAAACTGTAACAATTGGTTTTCTCATACAGCACTATGGAGGAAACACCATCAAAGGTAAGAGGACGATTCGACATGTCTTTCTAATTAAAAAAAATTGTGTTGCTCACATTTATTTTAAATGTCAACATTTATGACGCACCTTTTGACTGCTGTGATTATTTGCAGGTTTGGGGTTTCTGGCAGTCTACTGTGGTCTGCTGGCAGTCGTACTCTCTCCCGTGACCCCAGTGTCCGTTGTTACTACCATGCAAGCCTCTAATATGCCAGCCATCATCTTTGGACGGGTAAGCCGGCCAAAAAACAACAATGCTATTCAACAGCTGACCCAGCAGAAATATATTTTTCTTGTAATGTATCCAATTTTCTCTGTGTCTTCAGTTAATTCAGGCTGGTACAAACTACAGAAATGGACACACTGGACAGCTATCAGCTATTTCAGTGTTTCTGCTGTTTGCAGGCTCCTTGGCACGCATATTCACTACAGTGCAGGTAAAACCACTATAATGAGCTGTCATGCAATATTTTAGAGGACAGAAGTGTCTTATGCTCACCAAGGCTGCAAAAAAACCTTTAATATTGTGAAATGTTATTATAAATTAAAATGTAAAGCTTAATGTTAATATATTTGAAAATGAAATTTATTCATGTGATTGTGAAGCTGACTTTTCAGCAGCCATTACTTAAGTCTTCAGTGTCTCATGATCCTTCAGAAATAATTCTAATATGCTGATTTGATGCTCAAGTAACGTTTTTTTTAATATTACCAATTTAGAAAACAGTTGTTCTGCCTAATATTTTTGTGGAACCCGTGATACATTTTTTTAACGATTCTTTGATTAATAGAAAGTTCAACAACAGCATTTATTTGAAATATAATTTTTTGGAACAATGTAAAAATGTATCTAACGAATTTGATTAATGTATCCTTGCTGAATAAAATTATTATACTCATCAAAAATGAATGGTAGTGAAACTTGTTTATGGTCCTCTTTGGCTTTTATATTCATTTTAAAACAGTTTGAAATAGTTCCATTGATAAATGCCCATTTTAATGTGTCCTCTGTACAGGAAACGGGAGATTCCCTCATGGCTGTCACCTACATCATTTCTTCTTTCTGTAATGGTGTGATTGCAGCTCAGGTCCTCTACTACTGGAACAGCAGCCCTGCCCTCAGGAAGAAGACTGAGTAGATCCGAACAGCAGGCAAATTCAGTGACCACTCAGTTTGACAAAGTGCACTGAACAGCCGATCGGGGAATTAGATGTACTTTAATCAAAATGACGGTTCTTGTGAAATTAAGCTCTGTCCCTTGGTCACTTGTTAAAAAGCATTTATTGTTAACATATCAGTGCTTACTTGAGAGGCTGGCACAAATACTGTATAATGAACACATTCACGTATTCCAGGTGCCCTGAAGTGGACCAAGAAGCCAGTATGGTGAGGGGTGCTTCTATAATTATTGAAAATTTTCCCCCCTTTTTATTCCCTTTTATGGTTGTGGGCTATTTAATTAGGCTGTAAAAATGTTTTTATCCTTTTTTTATTAATTTTTTTTAGCTCAGGGAAAGGAATGGTGTCCATTGTATTCTTGCATTCAACCATACATTTACAAACATTATGTAATAAATCTTCATATATTATTGCTGACATACTGTCTTACAGTCTTATTGCTCACTTTACCCTGGCTCCCTGAATAGTCACTAAAACACATGTAGCCATTTTGAATTCAACAATTCTGTGAAAAAAAGTCTGCCAAGATTTTTTTAAATATACATTTCAGAATTGTGAAAATGACCAGAATACTTTAAAAGTGCACAAATGAAAATATGTGTCATCATATGCTACAGGCAGCCCTACTAGAACAACTATTATAACCCACAATAAATTATAATTTTTTTGTTCTATGTAGACTAATCCAACCATATGGACACTATTTCACAAAGTCTTCCAGAACGTTGAAATGCCCATGTTGCTTCACACTCTAGAAAAGACGTTATGTTGCATTTGACAAAACGCAGGGTTTTCTTTAGGTTATGTATAGATACTAGTGAATCAATTACTGTTGTATTTCTTAAGTTGAAATGCAATAGTACATGTAGCCATGCTGTTGAGTGTAATCATTACTAATGGCAAATTGGTGAAATAGAAATTTACTACAAAGCACCCATCAAAAGCAAGTTTCAAGCTGTCTGCAGGTAAAAGGACAATTTTATTTGAATGATGGAAATTGCATATTTGCACACATTTTGTGAATTTATTTTCCATTTTTGCTTGTGAACATCTGTTGTTCATTGTCGGTTTATTTCATGAATGAAATATTACAAATGACTGTGATTTGTTTATTTTCCCCCCATATCTAAATTTGCAGTGTACTTCTGACCACTGAGTAAAACATTTCCATCAGATAATTTGTAGTGTCTGTTGTGTGAAAGGCTTTTAAAAAGACACAAACAGTTGTAGGGGGAAAAAAGCATTTAAATAAATTGTTTTATTCTTATAAGAAGCTGTGTTTTTGCATTTATCCATTATGGATGGTTCAAGTTAATGAACAGTGATACATAATTATACCACCAGAGAGAAGCAAAGAGTCGATAAAAATACAATTGCTGTTAGTATTCTCCACTGCATTTTATTTTGTACTACACAAACGTGTTAACCACAATCTGATTTGAATTGGAATTTGCTCATAATCTTCATGGTTATATGTTAATTAACAATGTCACACTAGCGTGGGCTAATATAACTATCAAAGATCCTATCACTATGTACTTCCATGAAGTGTTAGTCACCTTGAAGTTTTGAAGCCCATTCTCGACCCATCCGCAAGCACTACTCTTCACCACGATGGTAAACCTATAAAACTTCAACATAAAAGAAACCCCTTGAAATGCCAAAATAACAGAGCAGTAAACAATAATAGATCTCCCCTTTATTATATTTATTCTCCTTACACAATCTGACGCGAAGCATGCTGGGAACTAGAAATCTGCTGCAACTCAAGTCAGTTTAAGAAGTTCTGCTTACTAATATAAAATTTTGCGTTCACATAACTTTTATGTACAATGCACTTTCAGTAGTATTTGAGTGAAACAAACTAATTTCCTTTCATTAGTTTAAACTCTTCGGTTTTACAGTGAAGTAGAAAGCATGGAAAGATATACTGGCAGTATTCGTTCTGGTTCAGAATGCATTCAGTTGCTATTTTATTAAGACCACCTCAAGAAGTCTGAAATCAATTAGCCTGAAACCCCAATAATATATAATATTCTTTTTTTTTTCTTTTCAAAATGTAGTTTAATGTTGGCAAATGAAGCCTGTCTAGCTGGATGTGACTTTAACTCTCCCAGGGCTGTCATTTTTAATGCTACTTTAACTTATAGCATGCACTCCTGCACTGCAGTTGCCTGTTTTTGTTCCAGTGTTACTCATACATGGCCGTTATTTCTCGTGTGCTTAATTCTCTCTCTTTGCCCAAATGTAACTGGTACCATTGAGTCTCCCATTGGTCCAGATGAATTGGTCGCTCTGTTTTCTAGATCTACAGAGGGAAGACAATCAAGAATGTCAGAGCAGGCAGACAAACAGAGTTAAACAGCACTGCTTGAACAATAGTACTCATGCACTCAGACAGGACGGCTGAATGCAAATGGCAGAAAGATAAGCCACAGGCATCTAATGAGAGTGTTTATCTAAATATTAAAAGCAGTTAAAGCAGGAAGAGCAAATAATTTCTCTAATATAAACTCAAATTATAGCGTTCTA